TCATCACACTTATACCACTCATATACACATATACTCTCTCACTCTCTCTCTCACACACACACATACTCAGAAAAAAACACTTGGAAAAGAAATTGTAGATGGAATATGCTTATATCTGAACATCACTGAGGCAGATTATTTTGGCTGCTCCTATTATGAAAATGATTATAAAGTAATTCTTCTGCCATAATTTCTACGTTATAATTTCAAAAGACTTTTTTTTGTTACATCATAGGTTTTATTGGAATGTATATTTTTTGTTATATTTGTTTAAAGGAAATATTTATTTTCTATATTTTCATTCATAGTTTTGGCTTATTCCTGATAAACCGGTCTGCAAGCAAATCACTGGTGGGCATCTACTATTCAATTTTTCAAAATAATTTTTCAAAATAATATTTATAATAATATTATTATATGTAATTATTGTTATTTGCTTTAATATTTGCTAAAAGACTTATTTTTGTATAAAAATTTTGAAAGGGGAAAATGTATATTTGGAGTTTGGTGTGAAATATTACGTTGCTGATCCATTGAGCATTGAAGATGACGTTGCAAGGTCGTACCACAACCAAGTCTATGTATCATTTTTATACCTATATAATCATTCAATTTCATCGACTTTTTTTATAAATGCTTCTTATTTTAATCATAATATTATTTTTTTGTTTATTGTTTTCTTCTTTTGAATGATGTTCCAGATCTTTCTTGTTCCTGCAAGTTAGGAAAGATATAAAGAGTGGCAGGTTATAAATTGCTGAGATGATGATTTATTATGATGTTTTTAATGTAGTGCGATTAATGATAACATTTTTAATGTAATATTGCAGTGATAGATGTTGTTTTTAATGTAATATTGTGAATAATGACAATTTTCATAATGTGATTCATCAGACTGCCGTGTTCCTTTGTTACTCTCGCCCTTCTCAACTCTTACTTTGTGCAAGCATACTTTGGAGATTATGATGACAGATACGAGTTTGATGTCGGTTACGTGAGAGAGTATTTGATTGACGATCGACCTACTGATGAAATGATCGTGAAGGTTGTCGAACTCCATAAGACTCACGTGTCGGTTTTGAATTTCCGAATATTTATTGTGCAATTAAAAAATTTCTGTTGATTAGCATTGTATTGCAAATCGTGAATGAAAATTTCAACAGTGGAGTGAGTCGGTTAGAAGCAGAAAAAAAGTTCCTCGACAGTGCAAAGGGCTTGACCATGTATGGCGTGCACATGCATAATGCTTTTGTTAGTCTATGATGTTCTTTGTTATGCTTTTGCTATTGTTATTTATTTTGCCCTTACCTTCCGTGTATTGTTTTGAATTCAATTTAACAAATGAGCATTGGTTAGTTGACGTTTTTGAAAACAAGCAGGACATGAACGTCGGTCGCAATGTGATAATAGGCATCTGCGGCAGGGGCGTCACCATATATGATGAGAAACTGAGAATCAATGATTACCCCTGGCAGAACACGAAATTATTCTGGCACAGTCAAGATCAGTTTGTACTGCAGATCACGAGGCAAATTGTAAGTAAAAATGATTATTGTTCTTCTCTATGTATCACCTAGTAGTAGTAGAAGAAGTAATGCTGTTCTGGAGGTTATCCAAAGAGTATGCTGTCAGGCATGCTAGGACAGCTGATTCGTTGATTGTTTGTTCATCCAACAGCCAATGCCTGCTTTAAATTTGTTCATTGATTGTGCCTCAATAAGTTCATTTAGTAATGAGTTCCTAGTATTTGTGACTTTATTGATGTTTTTTTCCAATATTTAAGAGTGTTATTACATTGGACAGTCATCATTTATTTTTATTTATTCTACAGACAGAAAGCAAAGATAGTAAGGTGGTCTTCAGACTGCCATCCAAGAAACATGCCAAGAAACTCTTCAAACTGACTGTAGATCATCATTATTACTTCAGGTCTGTTTGGCTGGCTGGATATTTGTTTAGCTAATAATTTTTTCTTTTAAAAAGTAAATGCACAAAAACCGAAGAGTAATATAATTTTTCCACCTCAATTACCTTTAAAATGATCGCCCAATCAGACTGCGCCACATGTTGAAACCTGGACCGGCAAAAGCATCACCTCTGAGCATTCCCACGCCTCCACAGCAGGTCGTCAACATTGCAACAACATCAAGTGCAACAAAATCATCAACGTTGACATCGAATTTAACAAAATCATCAACAATGACATCAGCGACAATAGGAACAGGAAGAACAACAATGATCAATTCAGCAGCATCCACGACTAACAACAACTTATTCACTAATTCACTTAACCTGCCCTGCACTGACCATGCTGAAGTTATGATAGTCCCTGACAGCGGTGATGTGACGAACGACTATGTCGAGGAGGAAGAAGGCATTCTTGCCTTTAATAGAGGCAGTATGAAAAGTAGTAGGAGGAATTTTATTGGCTCGTTGAGTCTATCTAAAATTAAAACGAGCAATGTGATTGGTGGCAGTACTTCTGATAACATTTCTATTAATGGAAGGGTAAGAGTGGTGGTTTGATGACGAGAAAGATAAAATTAAAAACGTTGATAAGGAAAACAATTCTGTTATTTATGATTGTAACAATTTTGTTGACAGGCGGCACATGCATCCAGTTCTATGGAACGCTTGAGGAACTTACATTCATCATCATCATTTGATCGAAGTGCCACGCAGAATGTTGTCAACGTTGTTGCTACTGACCCTGATAACGAGGCTGATCTTGATAATGATGACATTCCAGCCGTAGATCCTGGTAGTGATGCAATTGCGGCTGCGAGTGCAGTTGATCAGCAGCAGTACAATTTTCATCATCATCATCAGTATGATAATGTTTACTATAATGAAGATGATGGCCATCCATGTTATCACCAGAGAGATTTTGATGGAGTTGATTTGTACCATTATCATCCGCATCAGCAGGAATATGATGAATTTTATGATGATGACAATGATGTTGGTTACTATGACCGCTACCAGCAACAAGTGCAGTTGCATCCATGGCCTAGAAATGACAATGATGATGGTGATGAGTATGTTGTTGACAAACACTACAAACAACAGCCAAACATAATGGTGGTTGAACATCAGCAACAACAAATATTGCAACAACAAAAAGATTTGATGCAAAAACAGAATGAGATGTTCGATATTGTTCTCAAGCTAAAAGATAATGAAAAACGTAATAATAGTTCCATAGATGAGGTAAACGTTTAATTGTATCTTAGTAACTTAACAGTTGAATGTAATAAAATAAACTAAAAATGTAAATAATTTATCATTCAACAGCATGTGGTGAACCTAGTTATCAGTGATGACATCAATGCGAATGTTGGGTGGCAAGCTAGTAGAATACCAAGCAACAATAAACTGATCACTAATTACTCAGTCACTAATTCATATTCCGGTACTGAGGATAACAGTTACTATGCTGAGGCCGACTTCCGGGGATGTGCTAATTATGAGATGGATAAAAGAGTTGAGTGGAATACAGGGACGGTTGTTGGTGATGATGTTGAGGATGAGATTGTTCATAGGTACATCGCCACTGATGGAACTGAAATTATTGAGGTGCTGCTACATCCGAAAATTTATAATTTTCTAAGTTTTGGTTTATAGTTGTTTTATTAATTATTTTGGGTTTATAAAAGGTTTTTAATATATCGTATGATTTTTAAAACAATGGAGATAAAAAAACTTGAGAAAATTTTTATAATTAGAAAAACTTTTGCATCGCAGCATTTGATAAAGAAAAACGGTTTGGTTGAAAGATTCATTGAGAGAAGAAAGAAGGAAGAAGTGGATTATGATAGAGTTTGTTTGTTTGCTCTCATTTATAAACTCTGTATTCATGATGTTAATATCTCGTTAGGTTATGATGATTTCACAAATTTTGTTTATACTATTTTACTTATCAGATGTTGAGCGAGGCCATTAGTGCAACAACAGGAATGAATCCGGATCTGGCTGTGGAGAAGATTATAATCCAGGCTGATATCAGTGATCAAGTTGAAATTTGATTGATACAGCATGCATACAAATATACATCCCTATGTAGATGCTCACATACATTTACAACTAACGTACTCATACATTAGCGACGAACATACACACATTCATTTACAAAAAACATGCTTACAATTGATTAGTAGTAATCTGATTACAACGATAGCGATGTAATATGCCATACTGTTCTATAACATATATGCACTTGATTGCTGGACATGCGGATGATTAACTGTACCACCTCTCGCCTGTTGATGTTCATTTTTTAATAATTTTCCTGGACGAGCTCATATTTTTGATCGCTAATTTGTGTTTGGTTGTTTGCAAAAGTCCGGTTGACTTTTTCTATGTGCGCGTGCGTGTCGTGTTTGTTCCATTCGCCAGATGGCAGGTTTCAATAAATTGGTGTGCAGCGACATTTTCATTGATGTAAATAAAACACAACTCGTCTTCGTTATCTGGAATTCCCAATGTTTGAAATTTGGGTAATTCCGTGATTTCGTTGTTCTTTTTTAATTTTTGAATGTTTTGATTTTTCATTTTAAAGAGCATTATTTTTGTAATGATATTTTGCTAAAATGCCTTTAAACGGAATTCCGTTCATTATTTCTCCGGATCTCCTACATACTCTATCCAGTGCTGGCCATGGGGACGAGATTGGTGGGTCCATATATATTTTTTGAAGTTATTTATTTTATAATTAGGTATTTTAATTTTATTAATTAAACATTTCATTTTTTTAGTAATAAGAAATAATAACTCATCTATCATATTAACCATTGTAAAAAAGTGCTGTCTTCTTAATAAGATAATCTTTTTATTGTCCATTGTTTATTTTTTTTTTATCATTAACAAAAAGTCTACAATTTATCTTTTTTTCTTATTTAACTTTTCTCATTAATTTTTGTATTAATTTTTGTCATATTTATTAATATCAGTGTTGGCCGATGCCCATTTTCCAACTTCGTCTGTTTGCAGAGGTGGCTGTAAAGAAATCAGAGCAGATGGTTGTTCATTCAGCAGTCAATTTTTTGATTATTCATTATTTACAAAGAATTTTAAATGTTTTTCATACATAAGTTGTGTTTTTTGATGTTATATGCTTCATTCTTATATTCTTTTGTAAATGAAAACATTAAATAAAACTTATTTCTTTTGTTGTTAGGTCATAACATTCCAGATTTACTTGATGCCATTTTGAAGTTGTATCCACTTGATCCATATGTTCCACATCCAGTTGGTTTCATTTTATTATCACTGTCAACTGCCACTACCACTCATCATAAATTTTCATCATCAGTTATTTTACTCTGATGTTTATCATGTAACGTTATGCATGCATTTCTTGAAGCATATTCAAACATAGTAAACTGAGTTATTAATTGTGGGTATTAATTATAGTAAACATTTTTTCAACATTACGCATGAAATGAATGATCATTATAGCAGTTATATTAATTTTTAACTATAATAACAAAGGCAACAGTTATGAGAGTTGTACCTAATGATCCACTGTTAATGTCTGGTCAGGATCCACCAATATGGCAGAGGTACATTGAAATCATCAAGAAGTACTATGCATCTGATGACGTTGGTCGTGTTGGGAGTTGTGCGATGATTTTGTGGTGGATGTGACGGTTATTATTATTATTATTATTATTATTATTATTATTATTATGAAGATTATGATAAAGTCAATTCATGGGAAGTTAGTCAACCAATTAGTTTGTGTAGCGCTATCTCCGCGATGTTCAACAACACTCCTCAGTGAATTTTGCAAATAGATGAAGAAGTTTAGATGGAACAGACCACTTATTTTTAGATGTTGAAGCAGATATTATAGAGTTTCTAAAAAAAGCGGAGTGTTTAGAGAATAGTAAATGTCTATAATTAATTAATTCAGATTCATAAATTGAGTTAAGAGAGCTAGATGGGTTTAACCTATCTATAGGCTTTCTCCAGTCTTCTAACACTTTTTTCAGCAGTGTACAAATCCGACAATACAACAAAATACGATGGTGGCGATTATGAGAATAATAATAATGATGATGATAATAGTTTTGAAATCTATCTAATTCTTGACAGGCCTTAGGTCATTTGGACAGATTTGATTTTTATGACCAGGCTAGAAAGTCTTTTGCTGTCGTAGCAACAGGGTGAATAACGTTTCTAATAAATTATAATAATCAATCAGACGCCAAATAATACAATTATTAATATCTGTGAAACATTTGAAATTTTTTTTGCTGGTAATTTTTAAATTTTGTTCTTTGCAGTGAGGTAGCTCAATATGGAAACATCATAATCAAGAAAGGAATTGTCAAGCTCGAATCATGATTATGCATGTATGCAAGCTTGAATTAGGATTATGTATGTGTTTGTATGTATGTGAATACTGTATGTACGATAGTAATGATATGGGGACGGTTTGAAGTTTATTTTCATAACATAGAATTGATAATAGAAGGAATAAAAGCTTCTTTCTGTTTTGTTTTATCTCACTCATTCATCCATTTTGCCATTAGTTTATCATGCCTAATTAAGAAAAAATAGCATATTTTGTAGCCACGCCTAGTCTTTATTGATTGGATGATCGACTAACCAATAGGAAAGTGTTGCTTCTGTAACAGGTTTCGTGAGAAGCGGTGATAGAGCAGCAAATAGGCGTCCTTATATAAATTTTATCTTTCCATCATCATCTTCATCATCATCGCTATCGTCGTTACTATCATCACAATTATACGCACGTACGTACGTGCGTATATTCAGGTACACGCATGCATATACATTCGTTAAATGCATACGTACGTACGCACGTGAATGCACGTGCTGACAATAGAGACGCACACGTAGACACACAAACACGGAAAGACATACACCTTGCTCCTTGCTGTGTATCAACTGAAAATTGTACTTATTTTTCTTGTGTGTCCATGTGTGTGTGTATTTGTATCAATGTGTGTATGTACATATATGTATGTTTGTGTGTATGTATATAAATATATATATGTATGTTTGTATATATACACTTCAGGAGGAGAGACTTTAATCCACGTAAGTTGTTTGCTATTCAATGTCATTACTGTCCGAATGTGTGTTGTGTACTTGTGTTTGTTTTTGTGTGTGTAATGTGTTCGTGTAAGTGTTTGCTTGAGTGGATGTATTCGTGTATATGTGTTTTCACACATTTTTTTATTCACGTATATGTCTTTTCAAATGTATACACTCACATGTGTGCATATAAGTAGTTTTGAGCGTTCACTATAAACTATGTCTGCCTGTCTGCTTGTTTCTCGTTTGCCTGATTGTTTGTGAACGTTCGTTTACTATTACGGTCTCTTCTTCTTCTCCATCTAATCACCTAATGATTAAGCAAATACAAATTGAGAATCATAGTGAGAATCATAGGCCTTAACAATGCATTTATTCCAGCGAATATACACGCGCGTGAAAACACACACAGAGAGAGAAAGAGAGAGAGAGAGAGAGAAAATGAAAATAAGATTAAGAGTAGATGGATGGATTTTGTAGAGCAGCGCATAACAGACAAACACACGCCGCACTTAAGCGAGCAGGCAGGCAGCACAAAGAATATATAACGAAAGAGGAGACTGGTTTGTGGTTGGCGTAACGAAGAGAGAGATGAACTTCACTTTCTCCGTTGATCTAAAGACGTTGCAAACGATTTTCATAGATCGTTTATAATATCAGGAAGGCAAAAACGAATAATTTATCGAGCATATCAACCCAGCGGTATAAGTTTCAATAAATTCTGGTCTGAAAATCAGTTAACTTTAGAGCTTACAAGTTATAGGAATCATTTTCTTTCAACATGTTTTGGAGCGAATATTTCAATGTTATAAAATGTCACAATATTCACCAACATCATCAGCAGCAGCATCACCAACCCCAACAGAGACCTGCGTCGTCAGCATCAAATGAAAAATCTTCAATTATTTTCCAGCCATGGCTGTCCAACGAAAATCCAAAAAAGTTTAACAGCAGCCATCAGCAACATTCTCATCATCAACAACATCAAAAACAAAGAAACACACACCAGTCTAAAATACAGCAACACCTCCAACAACAACATCTTCATCCACAGCACCAACATTATTATTTGAAATTAACTCAACAACATCAGCAGCAGCAACAACTTTTATTGGCCCAGATACTCTCACAACATTTACATCAATTTCTCAACAAAACCAACAACAAATTTGATGATTTGTCGCAAAAAACTTACACCACCAGCAACAGTAACGAAAACAACAACACGATTACTTATCATACTCATTCGGCAACATACAACAGCAACAGCGGCAACCCCAACAACATCATTAACAGCAACCACAACAACAACAACCCGTCTATACAATACATCTACGCACGCCATCAACAACATCACCAACAAAAACATTACAAACAATTACAACATCAACAACACTCAATCGTTAACGAAAGAAAATTGAAGCATTCTCAAATTGAAACCTGTTCGAAAAATCCCAATCTGAAAACAGCAATTACTAACATTCCGCCGTTTGACGAAACTCTTAGAATTTCTAATCCTCAACATGATTTTCGGCCATTCAGTGAACTTCACCTTGACCTACTTTTGTACGGCCACGTGGCTGTTCCAACTCAAACTGACCCAATTAAAAATGACTCAGATAATAACGCTGACGTAATCGCTTTGTCAGGCCTTCAGTTTCAGGAGGATGATGACGTCGAAGGTGACGATGGGAAGGATGGCTTGGAAGCCCCTAAGGGTAAACCAATAAATAGTTATTTTATTTAGTTAAACTTGATTGAAATATAATATCTATTTAACTATTCATTTGTAATTCGTGCAGATTTCAAATTGTTGAAATGCAAGCGCCATGGGGTGAACCAGCGAACTATCGTCAGCAAGAATCGAAACGTCATACCGGTCGGGACAGTATTCGGTCCCATTCCTATCTTCAACAACAAATTTACTTCCAGCACTACTACTACTACTACTGCTACTAATAATAATATTAACAACATCAGCAGTGTAAATAAAAACAATTCATCTAGATCTATTAGTAAGGAACATGATGATGGTCATTATAATGATGACGACAACTGTGCTGTTAAAAATGACCGTGGTAGTAATGATGATGATGACTATGATGATAATGGTCATGGTGATGATGGTCATGATGATGATGGTGTTGGTTGTGATGATGATAACAACGAGAAAGCTTCGGAGAAATGGTTGTTGTACGTTAATATGGCGAGATGCAAAGATGAGCAAAATATGGAGACGATGGTGAAAGGTGATGGCAAGATGTATTACCGAACAATTAGGGATGTGCGGTTTGGAGATGAACTACTCGTCTGGTACGGCAACCACATCGAATCATATTTCGGGATCCCGATTTTAGTGAAAAGTTTAAACGTTATGGCGACAGATGGTTCTAAGAAAAACGACGCTGATGACGTTACTGCTATGCAAGATGGCGAAGATGTTTCCCTTCTTGAAAAAGCGTTTTTCAACTACGATTTCAACAATGTTAAAATTGAAAGTTGCAATTTAGAAAACGGCAACACGATTTCTGTGACTTCATCATTTTCTTCCTCCTCTTCCTCGTACGATAATTTGCATATAGGTTCTTCTGCCATGTGTAATAATATCAACAACAACAATAAAAATAATAATAAAATGAATAGTACTACTAATAATAATAATAACGCGAAAAACAGCAAAACAACTTCAGATGCTCCGTCGATAACCAGCGAACCAGTGAATTTGAATTGGCTGGAGCAGCAAAAATTTTTTCAAAATAATGGCGAAGAAGAAAGTTATTTGATATTAAATTAATTCTTTTTCATGAAACAATTCGTTCAATCTATCATCCATTCATTCATTCATCCATGCATCCACAAACACATTTCAGATTCAGATGGATATCAGTGCGAATATTGCGGGAAGGTGTTCGCCTACAAGTACTACAGAGACAAGCATCTGAAATACACTCGCTGTGTCGATCGAGGAGATCGCAAGTATCCATGCCAACTATGTTCCAGGTTGTTGTTGTATCATTGTAGTTGTAGTAAGGTGCCTGCTTTCTCTGTTCGTGTCATATGTGTGTGTTTCTGTGTATTTGTGTGTGTGTGTTTGCATTTATTCTTGCTGTATGGTGTGGTGGTACTTTGTGGGAAGCGGTTTCTCTTTGAAAAACTTTTTTTTATTAAATAAATGAATGAATAAACTGATGAGTTAAATGGATGAATAATGCGTAAATATAAATATATATTTATATATATGTATATAAAATGTAATCATTAAGATCATTCGAGAAGAGAGATCGCTTGCGGATACACGTGCTGCACGTCCATGAAAAACATCAGCCTCACAAATGCTCCGTCTGCTCCAAGAGTTTCAGTCAGTCGTCCAGTCTAAATAAACATATGAGGGTTTGTTTGTTTGTTTGTTTGTTTGTTTGTTTGTTTGTTTGTTTGTTTGTTTGTTTGTTTGTTTGTTTGTTTGTGAGGATGATGATGGTGACGATGATGTCGAAAAGCCACAACATGAACGACGGTATCAAAATCAAAAACGATCAAACCAAAGTTATATCACAACAACATGAACGATTAATTAGTGCATAAAAACAAGTTTTATTACATGAACAACACCACGACGAACACCAGGTTCACAGTGGTGAGCGTCCTTACAAGTGCATGTTCTGCAGCAAGGCCTTCACAGCTTCCAGCATTTTGAGGACTCACATCAGACAGCACTCCGGAGAAAAACCGTTCATGGTTGCTTGCTTAAAGATAATTATTTATAATTACGTCATTATTATTATTATTATTATTATTATTTAATATGATGGTAATACAAATGATTATAGATGCTTGAATGTTAATTTTTGTAAACAGTGCAAGCATTGCAGTAAAGCATTCGCATCACACGCCGCACATGACAGTCACGTCAGAAGGACTCACGTCATTACAACCTCCTCCTCCTCCTCCTCCTCATCATCATCACAGACATCATCATCCGCCAGCTTGAAAAATGGCGACCGGAAACAGGTGAACACGTCGACGATTCAGGCTACATCCGGTGGCGAAAAATGCTTGCTGTGTGGTCAGTTGTTCGGCCATCATCATCAGATGAAGTTCCACATGGCCTTTCACCATCACCACCATCATTGATGATGATGGTGATGCTCATGTTGCCACTGATGATGATGATGATGATGATAGTGGTGGTGGTGGTGATGTGATAGAAAAGATAATAATCATACTTCAGTGTGATGACAATTTGATGATGACAACCACCACGTTTCAATTTTGCATTTCCAAAAATATTTGTTCAATAAAATGCTTGCAAGTTTGTTCTTGTTACCGTTCTCTGCATAAAAACATGCAAAGCAAACAGCAAACCACACATGCACATTAAAAGCAAACACGTAGTTTACACACACACGCACACACGCATGCACACACGCACACATGCATGTATGTTAACGTCGTTTTAGCGTGTTTATGCTTTTTTTATGATAGGTCCGTCTGCTCGCATACTTCATACAACTTCACAAATTTGGGCTTACATGTGTGTGTGTTTGTATATATATATATATATATATATGTGTGTGTGTGTGTGTGTGTGTGTTTGTGAGGATTGACGTGCTGAATGACGATAATGAGGACGAGGATGATGTTGTTGTTGTTGATGGCACTTCCTGAGCATTTTGCATTACAATGAAATGATAGTGTGGTACACATTGCATACATACATACATACATCTATTCATACATATACACGCGCACGTAAAATCGAATGCACACACACACACACACACACACACACACACACACACACACGTAAAAAATATAGGCGTGAAAGGTCATTAACTATAGGTGCAAATGATGCCTCGTGTTATGAACATTACGATCTCCCATCATTAAATTAAACATCTTTCCAAATATGACCGCGTGCACTTATGCACGTGTGCGTGTGTTCATGTGTGTGTGTGTGTGTGTGTGTTTTTATGCGTGGGTGGATATATGAAAAAAATATAGCATCTTGATTGTAACATTTCTTTATCTGTTTCAATTTCAACGACGGACATCTTGCTTGCATTTCGTTGTTCAGCAGAGTGAAAAGAAACACGAAACGAGAGAGAAGAAAAAGAAAGAAAGAAAGAGAAAGAAAACATCTTACGAGAGAAAGAGAGAGAGAAGAGTCATCAAAGGTAATGAGAGAGTTCACGGTCAATCGTTTCCTAATAAGCATCTAATTGGGATTGATATCTACTGCCGTTTGAAATCTCTAGTGTGGTCCTCAACAAGTTGTCGTTTTGTTGCTGCTGTTGCTGCTGCTGCTGTCGTTGTCGTGGCTGCAGCTGCGCGATACATTTGTAAAGTGAATATTAACGTTATTCCTATTTTATACAACGTTAGTGGCAATTTTACAAGTGCTTTATCAGTACTTGCAGCAGAAGTACTAAGAGCAAAATTAAAATTCTGAACAACACAATAATTTCTAATTTTTAGCCAAAAATGTTTTGCACGTACAAAATTTAGGAGCACAAACACACATACACACAAACACACACACTATCACAAACACGTGTATAGAGAGACATTAGCTATACAAGAATGAATGGGTTACGTGATGTATGATCATGATCCCACGAGGGCTTAATTCCTAATCGACTGCTAAGCAGAAATCAACACACACTGTTCCTCCCCAAGTAGCACTACTGCGTGCTTTCTATTATGCACTCTTTTATGTACTACTATTAGTTTTTTACTATTTCTCAGTGGCGGCGTGGTCAGGTAGGGTTCGGCAGTCCCCGAGGTCCCTGGACTTGCGTATTGCTACGGTAGAGTATATAAGATCTCACGAGTGGCGATACAAACCACCTACATGTAAAAATACAAACAAACGTCGGCAATCATATGGGGAACATTTTAACGGTTCTGTTACTTAGTAGTTCTCGGAGAATGATCCACGTAACAATAACATTTAGTAAGGACAGTTCACAACATATCATAATGACTAAATCAACATACCAAACAGAAATTATTTATACATGCATATATACAATGTAAATCAAGAAACATTCAAAAATTATATAATCAAATTAAAAAAAACTAGAAACCAGTCAACATTTATTAAATAAATAAATAGACATTATTAAAAAACATTGTTCAAAAAGGTAAAATTTAAGGCGACGACGAGAATAAAATGTAGTTTGTTTTGTTGGTTTGGTGCTGTGAACCGAAAACAAACAAACAAACACGAACTACAAACATATTAACGCCAAATTCAGTAGAATTTATAGAATGTTGTAAATATATATATATATATATATATATATATATATATATATATATATATGTATGTGTGTGTATGTGTGTGTGTGTGTGTGTGTGTGTGTGTGTGTGTGTGTGTGTGTGTACGTATGTATGTATGTATGTTTTAAACTTACGTGTGTATCGGTATAATAATTTAAGACGCAAGTCTTAAGTTCTTCTATAATAGTTTAAAGCGTAAGTCTTAAATAATTATAGAACTAAGTCATGTGCAATTGTTTTATTTATTTATTTCAAAAATTTCCTTCAATTATTTAAACAAAAAAAAGACGAAGAAACAACAAAGAAAACAATTTTTTAGCACTTCTAACAATTTGTTCGCATTATCAGTGATATTTTCAACAGTATATTTATCATTATCATTGAAAATTTTATTTAATTAATGATAAAGAAAACAGAAATTAGATAAAAAAATTTGCTACCTATGAAATTAAATTACTCTCAACCTTAGTAATAATAAATTAAAATGTGTAATGAAAATAAAATTACGCTCAGAAACTAATACATGTGTTTATGTATGTATTTGTGTGTGTGTGTGTGTGTGTGTGTAATACGCTGATGCAAGAAAAAATAGAAGCGATAAACTTACGTCTTAAATTATTATAGAACTTTCTAAACAAAAGAATTTAAAAAAAGTGAACGGCATTTAGTGAGAAGCCCCCTCGCCACGTCAAGGCAGCCGTTCATGAGGGGGTTAATAATAAGTGCACGCGTCTCAAATTAGTTATATAAATAATCCTATCTACCTATTCAGGTGTCTTAGCTAATAACGTCAAAGCTTCAACTTACCTATTCATTATAATTAAGCCCTAGCTTACCTAAAATCATAAAACTCAAGAGCCCAATTCATTCGCTTATCGGCCCCACCCCACCACCTACATAATGCCTTGGGCTCCAACTTAGTAAAAAAAATGTAAAACATAAACCTATTAATGAGTATGTATGTACAACGTAGCCTTAACTTACCTATTCATTACATTACGGCCTTACCTTACCTAAAATTACAAAACTCAAGAGCCCAATTCATTCGCCAATCGGCCCCACCCAGCCACCTACATAATGCCTTGGGCTCCAACCTAATAATAATAATTTAAACTTAATAATTAACCTACCTATCGATACACTTACAACATTTAATTTACATTACAAGATTGTTCCTAGAATTACATTGTGGCTCTTAACTACCTATGAAATTAAATTACTCTCAGCCTTAGTAATAATAAATTAGAATGTGTAATGAAAATAAAATTACGCTCAGAAACTAATATATGTGTTTATGTAGTATTTGTGTGTGTGTAATACGCTGATGCGTGTAATGTGGGTGCAAGAAAAAATAGAAGCGATAAACTTACGCGCCTACCTATTCAACTACATTAGTGTTGGATGCTTCCTATCTATCCTACCTACAATTAAAATTACCCTTATCTAGCTTACCTATATAGTTACCTAATGTAATGTGTGTGTTTGAGTAGGTGTGCTAAATGACGCATCTTAAATAAATAAAAATAAAAATGGTAAAATAGAAAGAAAGACTAAAACGTAGAGAGTAAGACCTGTAGGAAAAAAATATATATTACAATCAATCAATAAAAAATCCCACTAAAACCAGGAACCACCGCGTACCTGCTGAATGTATGGTGTGAAACAAAACAAAATCACAAAACGAAAAACACACCACAAAGTAGAATAAAAGAATAGAAGTCCCTAACCTACCTATGTAATTAAATTACCTTATGCCCTAGCCTACCTATATAATAAATTAATTTTTAATCTCACCTACCTATGTTTTACTAACTTAACTAAAACTCATTAAGAAAGAGAAAAAGGAGTAAAACAAAACATAAAATATTACCACACAAACAAACACGATGTATGTGATGTATGTATGAGCAACCGCTAAAGAACCCACCTAAAATATAAAAAAATACCACATACAAACTCTATATAACTCTATATAGCTGCGCAACACTATATAACTCTATATAGCCGCGCAACTCTATATAACTCTATATAGCCGCGCAACTCTATATAACTCTATATAACTCTATATAGCCGCGCAACTCTATATAACTCTATATAGCCGCGCAACTCTATATAACTCTATATAGCCGCGCAACTCTATATAACTCTATATAGCCGCGCAACTCTATATAACTCTATATAACTCTATATAGCCGCGCAACTCTATATAACTCTATATAACTCTATATAGCCGCGCAACTCTATATAACTCTATATAACTCTATATAGCCGCGCAACTCTATATAACTCTATATAACTCTATATAGCCGCGCAACTCTATATAACTCTATATAACTCTATATAGCCGCGCAACTCTATATAACTCTATATAACTCTATATAGCCGCGCAACTCTATATAACTCTATATAACTCTATATAGCCGCGCAACTCTATATAACTCTATATAACTCTATATAGCCGCGCAACTCTATATAACTCTATATAACTCTATATAGCCGCGCAACTCTATATAACTCTATATAACTCTATATAGCCGCGCAACTCTATATAACTCTATATAACTCTATATATCTCTATATAGCCGCGCAACTCTATATAACTCTATATAACTCTATATATCTCTATATAGCCGCGCAACTCTATATAACTCTATATAACTCTATATATCTCTATATAGCCGCGCAACTCTATATAACTCTATATAACTCTATATATCTCTATATAGCCGCGCAACTCTATATAACTCTATATAACTCTATATATCTCTATATAGCCGCGCAACTCTATATAACTCTATATAACTCTATATATCTCTATATAGCCGCGCAACTCTATATAACTCTATATAACTCTATATATCTCTATATAGCCGCGCAACTCTATATAATTCTATATAACTCTATATATCTCTATATAGCCGCGCAACTCTATATAACTCTATATAACTCTATATATCTCTATATAGCCGCGCAACTCTATATAACTCTATATAACTCTATATAACTCTATATAACTCTATATAACTCTATATAACTCTATATAACTCTATATAACTCTATATAACTCTATATAACTCTATATAACTCTATATAACCATGTATACTACCACACTCAATCAATAAAAATCCCACTAAAACCAGAAACCACCGCGTACCTGCTGAATGTATGATGGGAAACAAAACAAAAAAAAACACAAAACAAAAATCACACCACCAAGTAGAGTAAAAGAATAGGAGTCCCTAACCTACCTATGTAACTAAATTACCTTATGCCCTAGCCTACCTATATAATAAATTAATTTTTACCTCACCTACCTATGCTTCATTAACTTAACTCAAAACTCATGAAGAAAGAGAAAAAGGAGTAAAAAAGAACATAAAATACTACCACACAAACAAACATGATGTATGTATGAATGTATGAGCAACCGCTAAAGAACCCACCTAAAATATAAAAAAATACAACATACAATCACACAAACCACAGGCATGCAACTCTATATAACTCTATATAATAAAATAAATAAAAAATTATAAAAATAAAATAAATGAGATCAGACAGACTGCTTCAAGCGAAGCAGAATGCCTGATCTGATTTTCATGCTGTCTCAGCTCCTATTTATACTCGTTTCAACCATACATTTTTATCATTTCAATCATTCACATCAGTAAAAAACTTATTTAATGTATGTACTACACTATTATACAGTCTTAACCACAATGCTAATCGTACTAAATTGACGTCATCTGACGAACGACTTCGAAGCTTTCTGATTGGCTGGTTGAATCTGCTATATTGCTTTTTTATATAAATATATAATCTTATTAATTATTTGTATACATGGATTCTAGTTACATCGGGGAGAATTCAAAATAGTTTGAGACCACACCTTTGATTAACATCCGATTCCAAGCCAAGCTGAGCCAATATGCGTAGATTTATAAGCGCTTTTATATTAAAATTTTGCTCGCTTTGTATATATATTATTTAAACTCATTGTAAAAACAACTGTAATCAGTGCTACATATGTACGCACGCAGTTCAAATTTTTCGGGGAGAATTCAAAATAGTTTGAGACCGCACCTTGCTTAACATCCGATTCCAAGCCGAGCCAAGCCAAGCTGAGTCAATATGCGTTGATTTATAAGAGCTTTTATATTAAAATTTTGCTTGCTTTATATATATATATATATATATATATATTATATATATATATATATATATATATATCTTTATATATATATATATATTATATAAATTAATTGTAAAAAAAACCACAGTAATCAGTGCTACATATGTACGCACGCAGTTCAAATTTTTCGGGGAGAATTCAAAATAGTTTGAGACCACACCTTGCTTAACATCCAAGCTGAGCTGAGTCAATATGCGTAGATTTATAACCGCTTTTATATTAAAATTTTTCTGAGAGAATTCAAAATAATTTGAGATTACACCATAACACAATTGTACAATTTGAATGTGTAAATAAATTATAAATGTATCATAACTATATATATATATATATCAGTATATCTATTTCTTTATTTAGTTCTGCCTGTTTATGATATTTGGTCAAATTTTATACCGGCTGATTAACCACCATGCAGTAAAATAACTACTGTTAACATGACGTCATTTCCTTCAACGATTTCGCAATGAATTACCCATTCTATTTAATAAATTTTATTTGATATTTTTTAATTAGTCAAGTCACAATCATCATCATTGATATCGCACAGAAATCAAATTGAGAATTTTTTAAATTTTTGAAAAAAGTATCTTTATTCATTTTATGATACTATATTCAAATTATATGCTTCGCTCACTTTCAATTAACGTTTGCGCTAGAAAATACAAAATTGCGCCGGTACGAAAATCTCTAAAAATGAACGGAATTTTTTTATTAATGAACAGTTTTAAAATTCACTATTTTTCAATTTAGAGTTTGTTTTGATATTTTAAAATGATAAAATGCGGTTTGATTGGACTGATTATCAAAGATGTATTTAAAAGTAAAATAAATCTAAAAAATAAGAATTCTGGAATGTTGCTATGGTTTCAGTTAATAACTTCTTCACGTGTCGTTCATTATTTAAATTATAATAAATTTAAAGCCAATAATAATGGCTGCATAACTTCGAAACTTGTTCCCAAGAAGAAGGTTTCTCTGATTGGTTCGGGCAATTGGTGAGTTTATAACTTTATAAGTAAATACTAATGGTAAATAGAAATTGTAATTTAATAGAAAAAGTAACCAAAATTTGGTTTTGAACTCAAGAAATTTGAGATCAACCATTAGAAAAATTAAACAGGAAGCTAACTAACGTAGAACATGCTGTGATTTTCATCAACATATATATAATAAATAAATAAAAATAAATAAATAGTTATATATGTGTGAGTATGTGTGTGTTACATGAATTATTCTATTAACACTATTTAACTGTTTAACATGGTAATTTTATTTTAAAAATTTTTAATTTAGGGGTACAGTGATTTGTAAGATCTTAGGTAACAACATTCTGTGCAATGAGCATTTATATGAAAAAAACTTGCCTATGTTTGTCAAAAAAGAACTTTATAATGGCATCGACTTGTGTGATATCATCAATGAAAAAAAAATGAACAAAAAGTATATGCCCCATTGCTTCATTCCGGATAATGTTGTGGGTACTATTCATTTTTCAAACTTTTTTATTTTATTTTGAATGTATTTTATTTTTGATCAAGTTGAGATTTTTGTAAGTCTTTTATTCTCTCATTAAAAATAAAATGTAAATCTTTCAGATGGCAAGTTCTGATTTGTTGGAAGTTACCGACAGAGCAGACATTTTGGTTTTTGTTTTGCCTCACCAGTACGTTAGAGAAATTTGTGAAACATTGAAGGGGCATGTAAAAAATGATGCCATTGCCATCTCTTTAATAAAAGTTTGTCTTGATGATGATATTGAAACTATATATTTCTGGTTATGTGATATTGATATTTTTAGGGTTTTGACGTTTATGGAAACAAATTAGATTTGATATCAAATGTTATTCGATCACAATTAAACATTCCTTGCTCGGTGCTTATGGGGGCTAATTTGGCATATGAAGTTGCCTTGGAGATGTATTCGGAAGCTACGATTGGTTAGCTGATTGTTTGTTTGTATATGATCACGTGATATCGTCTAAATTTCGAATTTCGTTGAAATTAGGATGCAAAGATGAAGAAGTGGGAATATTAATGAAAAAGTTATTTCAAACTCATTATTTCAGGATAGTCGTGGTTGATGATGAGTTGACGGTTGAGCTTGGAGGGGCTCTCAAAGTAAATACATGAACACATACCCATGCACACATTATTCTGTATTCCAAAATATGGCACACAAAAGATCAACATCCATACATACATATTGTTAAGAATTTAATATGAGTTGTGTTGTTTGTCATTTTGACAAGCGAGTGACAGATGTGGATGGCGTCGAGGGGTATTTCGGTTTCATCATAGGTAGCCAAACGGCAACCCCCGATCTCAGGGAAAATGTCGTCTAAACGTGTGTTGTTGTTGTTTGTCATTTTCAGATGAAACTTAAAATTGATTTATTTAAAAATGTAAAATATGAATGATCATGTAGAACATAGTAGCCATGGGGGCAGGTTTCAGTGATGGTTTGAATGGAGGGCACAACACAAAATCTGCTGTCATCCGCCTCGGCCTCATGGAGATGATGTCCTTCTCTAAAATGTTCTTCAAAGGTTGGTCTCAGTCCCGTGGTAAAGTGATGAACTGATGTTTGATGTTGTATCTGGCACTGACCATTTTAAAGGTTGCTCATGGATGAACAAATTACAACAGATAGCAAGATGAGCACATATTTTGAGAGCAGTGGGTTAGGTGATCTTGTGACAACGTGCTATGCCGGTCGAAATCACAGGGTTGCCAAAGAGTTTGCAAGCAATCCTCAACAAGTTTTATTAATTATTAAACTTCCTCGTTGTAATAGATTTGATTAATTCTCTTAAATTATATTTACTTTGCAAATGCAATTTCACACATTTGATGAACTATAATTTTTTACTTTTTTTGTGTTTGAGAACTATTGAAGTGTTGAACTATTAAGTGTTAGTATTAAAAATAATTATACTATTAACATCAAACAAATAAAATTTATAAGTTGTGTCTTACATGCTTTTGCTTCATCCAATGAATGAACAATTTTTAATTATCATGTACTTAACCATACATTTTTTTAATTTACAAGTTTTAAAGAAGCCTACATTACTTGCTATTGAATTCAATGAATACATAAGTTACAATGACTTTGTCATATAAACAGACATTAGAAAATTTGGAAATGAATTTGTTGAATGGACAAAAATTGCAAGGACCATTGACTGCAGCTGAGGTGGCCTGTGTGCTTAAGCTCCACAATGTTGAAGGACGGTGGGTTGCTTGTTCCTCTTTTAGTAACGCTGTATCTATGTGAGTGTGTGTGTGTGTTTGTATGTGTGTTTCTATATGTATGTATATTGCAAAAATCGTTATATGTATCCTTGTAGACGCAAAAGTCTTTGGTGGACAATGGACATCTTCAAAAGAAATATGACATATATTTTTTATTTGTTATTATGCAGCTCTCACTAGTGAAGAGCTGCCAAAATAATTTTTTTTTGACCGGCTGGTTACAATTAAATTTTCAAGCAAAAAATATTGTACATCCAGACCACACAGAAATTATTGAAACTGTTGGTTGGAATGGTTATAAAAGTAACAGTGAATGTTATAAAAATAATTGAAATAATAATTTCGCAGATTTCCTATGTTCAGTACCATTCATAAAATATGCAGTGGTGAGATGCCAGTTAGTTCATTCATGGACTGCCTTAAAAATCATCCAGAACATTTATGAGCACGCCTGGTGAACTTAAATGGATTAATTAATTAACCTTAAATAAATCAAATAATTAAACTTCCAGATCATACACTTATATTTATGAGACTAATTAAATTTCGTGCCGTTTTTTACTACAATAAATATTTGATGGCCAGTCCAACTAAATGCAAAAACAAGTATTCATTGGGGTTGGAGATAATGATTTGATGGTACAAACGCTTCCAGGTCAACTGGGAAAACATATCGAAAGTTTGTTAGAATAAAACGTCCATTGAAAATTCTTCAGACAAAAATCATATAACATGAATTGTATTGGTTTCCTATATATATATAATTCATATAAATGCGTGTATATGTATATTAAAATGATTTTAAGCCTTGATTTAATTATGTACCTAATAATGTATGTATCTACGTATAAAAAGCCGCAATGCACCACCAAAAAACCACCCCAAAATGAAAATAAGAATTTTCAATAGAATAGAAATTACAATATAATAAAAATAAATACAACCTGATGAAAACAGACGCAAATCTAACTCTTCGGCTAGGAAGGCGTTTGATCTGCATTAAGCATGTCGTCAATCCTTATTCATACTCCATTCGCTTATATATCCTTATAATTTCAATCATTGATATCATTAACAGCGTTTATTTAATGTATGAACAACATGGATATATACAATCTTAGTTAAATAATTATACAAACCTACGCATATATATGGACATACACACATGTACCATCAAAAAGCCATCTTTATTTTCATCTCTTGAGTTTCTGATACTTTTTTTTATTCTTTAAAAAAAATCAGAATCTGAAAGGTGCAGATACTATTAAAACATGCTAGACAATATAATAAAGAGGATAATAAATAACAGAGTAAGAGAGCACAAGCATGGAAAATAAAATAATGATTTTAAAAACAAACAAATTAATTAATTAGTTAATGAATAGATAAATAAACTATGCTCATTTGGGAAAAAGAATTAGAGAAATAGAACAATTGATGAATTATTGAGTATTAATACGTTTTAAATGAAATTAATGTTATTGTTGAAAATTACTCAAACTAATTTACATTTAAGAGATATTATTGAGATATCATTATTTAGCAATAAATACCACAATTCAAAATACTTCGTGAAATTAACGTTGGTGAACGGTTTGACGGGAAAAATGAAAATGACGATGACAGCGATGATGTGTCTCACTGGCCAGCATTTTAAAATCAAGCAGCAAGTTTGCAGTTGCAAACAAAATATTAAAACTCTTCTTCTAATTCAACTGAAAAATCATAGGCGGACATTTCCATCCAGTTCAGACCTAGTTCATTTCGAGTCCATATAGAAGATTTGATTTAAAGTATTATAATGCAAATGCACATTGCAACAATTATATAATTGAGTGTGCACAACTACAGTAGTGAAATTTTTATTCAAATTGTAAAAGTAGAAAATATTCTCTTTGTATCTTACCAGTGTATTGAAAACATAACAAATTGAAAGAAAATTTGTTGAGTACACAAATAAAGAAATATACAAATAAACATAGAAAGGAATTTTAAGTAAATGAAAAAAGTCGATACATACAGTCAGTACATACATAATCACACACACATACATACATTAATATATAAATATATATTTCAAATTGTTATATAAACAATAATAATTAGGATGCCAAGAAATTATTATCGCATTTCATAACAAACTATATGCATTTAAAGAAATCATTATAACTGGTTGTCTGTAAATTTGGAGTGCAATGGATAAATAGTTACTAACCAATCCTATCAACTAAAATCTTGTTGCCTAACAAAAAATTAAACTTAGCAATTAAATTCATAATGCAGAAATTTATATTGTTATTCTTCAATTTATCATCTATTGAAAAAGCGGTCTTTCAAAATGAAAAATGATAAACAATAAATGCATGTTCAATAAAAAAATAAAAATAAGAGTTTCAGATTTTATCAACAGGTATGTAAGGATATTTTGAGAATGTTAGAGGTACATGGAATAAGTAAGCTAGGAATACATAGGCCTTACCATGAATTATGATAAGCAGAGATTGATGAAGCAGAGCATATAACCTATAATAAGTGCCTTTGAATGGGTCTGACACTGCTGGGCACATTATGTTGTTTAGGTTTATGCCTGTTACCTGCAATATATATTTCAGTATTTATTTCAGTGGTTGATTTGTTCATGGCATTTAGCTTTTATGATAGTAATTGCATTACACACACACGTAAATAATTTAGCCACTTATCATATGAAAATTATATAAAATTATTATTATTAGTGTATTTGTAAGCATCCTTTAAAAAAATCTCAAAATCACTAACAATTATAGAAGCGCATTGCATAGCTATTTGTCAAGAAAATGTAATGAATAAAAAACATTGGCACAAGTAAGCTTGGACAAAAGGATGTTGAACAAGAAAGTGAACAACGGACAACGCAGGATCACCCAGATCCCTAGGCAAACCATACCAGACAGCAGAACCCATAATATATATCATATACATACATACATATATATACCATATAAACATATATACATATATTATTTAATATTGTAACCATGTACATTCATTTAGTTTTACTGATGCCATAAAAATATTTGTTGATAGAATATTTCATGTCATTATAAATCATTATAGTATACTATCATTAATATATTAGTGCTGCTGCTACAAATAAATAAATCCTTAAATGGAAGAATAAATATGTAAAATGAAAATCATCTATTACCAATGAAATGGGCTGCAAGAAGATGAAATGATAGATCATTTGAATGGACAGGGCAAACACGGACCACGTCATATCAGCAAAATCTTCAACTGAATATGCCCCTTGTTTCCAAATATTAAACACTAAATGTCATAACAAAGCTTATTAACAAAGGACAACAAAAAAGAATGTTAAAAAACTGCTGCTAAAATTCTTGGGTCAATAGATGGAATGAATGATAACGAAAGTGAATTGGATATTGTGCTGGAGTAAAATAAAAAAAATCTCACCTCCTAAACTCATGAGATAGAATGGAATAAAAAGGAGGAGAAGATGTTGGGCCCAATAAGTTGCCACCTCAAACTCCAACTGTAGCATTGTTAACATAATCAAATACAGATTATAATGAAAATTAAATTAATAAATACTACATTAAAAACAGTCACAAAATACATTGTATACTAACCAGTCTTGTGTTAACAACAGGAAAACAAATGGCAATGGAAACCCCACTCAACATATGAATGTGGAATCGAAACATTAGTGAAGATAGTTTGCTTGCCGGGGCTATCAACAGATAGATCTACAAAATTATACATGCTTTCAGCGTTGTCATACAAAACATTTAGAAACACCAATAAGTTGCAGCAAACAGGAAAAAAATAAAATTTAATTCTCACAATACAAATTTTATTTAAAAATATACAATAATGAAAACCTGAATAATAGTTACAACATGGCAAGGATTGAGGATCCAAATGAACTGTCGAGTTGATAATTTAAATCCTAACTCAATGCCAAACACTAAGCTGAGCAACAAAAGCAAAATTTGTTTGAGCAGTGGAGGTGAGTAATTTTTTATGGAGACATCTGTCAACTGACTATGGTCATTTACAACTCCATTCTGGTCATTATTGTTCAGGACTTTTCTTGGCCCTAGGCAGGGCATCATATACCATATCTTTCAAATTTTATTAGGTTGTTCTGTTATTGAATAACTTTACAACAGCTCACACTTCACACCACAATTTACAACAGTAATCGTTATCATTAGAGAATAGCATCACATTATTAGTGATATGATGCCATAGTAAACATAAAGTCATAAACCATACTAATTTTCTAACCTTATAAATTAAAGTAGGCTAATTAATTAACCTAATATATTAACACACACACGCACACACACACATATATATAATACAATAAATTATAAAAGCTAAACAAAAACAAAATCATAAAATTTATGACTTGTCATAAATAGTCTGTAGACATTTGTTCATCAACAAATGTTCCCTAACCTTAACACCCTAACCAACTCACAATTATTACTAAATAGTAAAATATATTTTTAAAAAAATTTAATATTAAAATCAATATACTTTTAATTTTTCTAAAACAACTTAAACTCAACATTTGCTAGCTTTTTCCAAGTCATGAACACAATTTGCAGAATCAGAACATCATTCTAAGAATGGAGCACTTATTTATTAGAGCCCACCAGCAATTGACACTAACTAAGGCCTAAGCCAGGATAATATATACTTACAAAAATAATTAATGAAAAAGAGAAATGGAAGGCCATAAACCTGCAGAGAGCTAACAAGAAGAACAAGGAAGGTCTCGAGGATCTTCTGCCTACTGCTCAGGTAATCCACGCATTCAGGTCCTCCGGTGCCGGGAATGCTAAAATTTACGCCCGAATATGTCCAAGCCAACATGCTTCAAACTTGAGCTTTAATGGCCGATTTTAACTCAACTTTTCGTCATTTAGTGCTGATAACGTTCGCATTTTATTTCCATTTAGCGTGGAAACAGACAAAACAAAAATTAATAAAATTCCAAATCGATGGCACGATACGATAGAACCAAAGACAATAAATATTTTTTTGCAAGAAAAAAAACTTCAAAACGTCAAACCTCGGATGTATAACGAAATACCGAGAAATAATGAAACACGGATAACGAAACACCAAATTGACAATTTATTGGGCACAAAGCATTTTGAAAGACAAATTGAAGTTTCGACTTTCGGGCATTAATAAAAACAATTGTAGACTAGTACGTGGTCATCTAATTAGTTTTCAGTAATAGAGGATGAGGGATACCAAGCAAGTCGCACAATTCATTTCTAATTGGCCGAAGTTCGCTGACATCCATGTCCCTATCATGAAACAAATCATTGAATAATTATAACTATACACTATAGTAAGAAAAACAACACATATATTCATCATAACAAAGTTTGCTACAAAATTCTAAAATTTAATGTTAAACAAAGACAATAGAGCAAAAAATCCCAACCAATTGGTGTTGATCAGTATGTTAGTTACTTCATCAAAAACCTCAGCACTGCAAATGGATTCTGAAGACATGAAAGTTTCATACATTCGAGAAGCAGACGTTTTTCGAAGTATAGGGTATCCATGACACAAAAGTATCATTAACCTGGACAAGCAAGTGCTACGTGATTCGGGACAGAGATCCATTAATCCACACAAGCTGGTAAATGAGTTGCACGCAATCGAATTTTAAGAATTAATTAAACAATTAAGACGAATATTAAAAGGAATAACATATCAATGGAAGGCAAAATCTTTTTGACATCCTTGCATTTTGTGATTTCGCTGATTGTCAGTTTCACTAATTGCATCATGAACTCATTCCTGTTAGGTTTAAAGCAGCACTTTTAACATTAAATTTTTATGTTAACATTTATTTAAAACAAGACAATTGCAAGGCTTAGAGACCAGCCATCAACACTAACTTGCAGCACTCATCTAAGTTTGCAAAACAGTCGGAAGTAATTAATTTGTCGATGGTTTTAAATATTGGCACAATGACGCGATCACTTTTGTGATGATCCTCAAACAAACGAATGAACACGTCACAGAAAGACTTCAAATCATCAACCGGCATTAACTTCAACTGTTTGATTAAATTCTCAGCGGAACACTTCACCTGTTTCGTGCATTATCGCTGGTCTTTTTGTAAAATCTTAAAAAATCATTCATTCATTCACACGACCGATAAATCAATCAATCAGCAAATAAATAAGTAAATCAACCAAACGGGAGACTAACAAGTGATTCTGTAAGTCCGCCAACGCTAACGACAAAACCCAGTGTTACATGATAGGAATAATGTCTAGAAGACAAGAGCTGTGCAAATAAAGGAAATGTTTGCTTAGGTGACGACCAGTTAATCATCGACTTCTCTTTATACTTAAATACATCTTTCAATCTATCCATTTCTGGGATTTGTGGCACGGCAGGGCTGTAATGGAGGCCATAATAAGAGCAAAGATGGAAAATTTTAATGACAAAAAAAGATGATATAGTAAGTGTGATATAGTTAACAAACAAAAATCTGCTAACATGTGATAAAGAAGCTTGTAGAAAAGATTTCCAGCTAAGCTTCTAGTTCGATCAATTTTCTCGCATGACTGTTGCACGAAGCTTTGAAATATCTTGAGATATCTTAATTAAAAATTTATCTAACCAGTTTAATCTGCACATCACCCGAAACGAACGCGCTACATACAGACGCACACTTACATGCGAGGAGTAAGACGATGAAGGTCTGTCTTTAAAACAGTTGCCGTTATGTCATAGAGAGCTTGCATGCAAGATTCTCGCACCCTGTTTATCAAAATTAACATCCTCCTCTTTATAGTCATCACCGTCAGCGTGGTCATCATTATCATCACCATCCACTGTCAATATCATCATCACCAAACCAACCAACCAACCAACCAACCAACCAACCAACCAACCAACCAACCAACCAACCAACCAACCAACCAACCAACCAACCAACCAACCAACCAACCAACCAACCAACCAACCAACCAACCAACCAACCAACCAACCAACCAACCAACCAACCAACCAACCAACCAATCAATCTATCAATCTATCGATCAATCGACTAACGAACCATGCTCCGACGTCTCCTCGGTCGTCAACAGTGTAATCGTTTACAGAGATGAAAAGGATTTGATAGATGGTTGCTAGCAAGACATCACTGACCAGGCAGCTGCTGATAAACTCTTCATTCTGGCAAAGCCTGTTGAATCAAGAGACACATTAATTCATTCACTGCCATTATCATTTACACTCATAAATTAATCATAAATTAATCATACATTAATTATCAATCAGTTATTAATTAATTGTTTGTTAGCTACTATTCATCATTGTATTCGCGATGATTTATTCATTAATCAAATAGTTGTTAGTATCTAATGGTTTGAAATTGCCAACATGGCTGACCAACACAAAAAGGTCATCCATATATCAATAAAAAGAACAGCCAGTCAGCCAACCAATCAACTAACCGACCGACCGACCAACCAACCGAGCAACAGAATGTATTGCGTCCTTACGCTCTTCCACCGTTGTCTTGTAGGCTGCTATCTGAAAAGCGCCATCAACAACATTCTCTCTAATATTCATTAGAGACTGGAATGAACGAAGGATAAGTGATGGATGAATGCAGTGACGTAGAAGTTGCTGAAACAAGTGCTGTTCGTTATTATCAGCAGTTTTCATCTGCAATGCAAAGAGCGGCAGATGACCGACAGCCCGACAAAAAGCGCACCTGACATGCGGTTGCACGTGCTGTAATTCTTCCATGTACATCAACATGAGGTCACCTTTCAATCAACAAGTCGGCAGGCCATTTAATTATTCAATCAATCAATCAACCAATCAATCAATCTACCAACCAACCAATCAATCAACCTACCAACCAGCAAACCAACCAATCAATCGTTCGGTCAATCAATCGATCCGTCGATAGGAAATTACAAATTCAAGAGACGCTAACGACAAGCAATCAACAACCTAACTTATGGAGGTCACTTTTGAAATATTGGTCGATAATAAATGTAGATGCATCGATGGCCCACTCCTTTTGATATCAAAAAACATCGTTCGCATATTAATTGCATGTCCAGCTCTTAGTAATAATTTGACTCTTATAACAAATGCAAATAACTAACTATTCAACTGATGCAACTCTATCGAAGCCAGCATAGCATAACGACAAGATAAGAAAAATGAGCAGCGAGACAACCTACCTGTACAGAGGGGTCTTCATTGTGCATACATTCATTGAGAAGAGACATCCAGCTATCTGTTTGTTGTTTATCATTTTTACTCAACTTAACAATAATTTAATCCAACCTCAATTCAATATTAATAAAAATGACGGCTCTCTCACAGATAGTGCATCAACTGCAACCAATCACTCAACAGCAACTTCAGCAGCAGTATTGATAATGATATAATAATTTCGATATTTATAATAATAAATAATATTAATAACCGTACAATAAAAAGCATAACCAATCAACCGACCGATCAACCAGCCAACCAACCAATCATATCGCTGCAACTGGCTGAGAATTTTGATGACGACACTTGCTTCATGAAAAAACAACCTACGAATGAGTTCGTGGATAGATGAATAAATGAAAGAATGGCTGAATTGATGATTGAATGAATCAAGTCTTTCGAAAAAACTTTACAGAATTTTGTTAAACAAGTTCAGTCAGAAGATAATTAACAATACCACATTATAAACTAACTAACAGGCCTTCTTCATCATATCGCCGTGGTAACCTCGAAAATAGTTCAACGAATTTGCCTAAATGGAATAAAAGAATGAACGAATAAATAAACAATTTACAGTTTTAACGAGGAGTAAATACAATCCACTCCTGTGCATTTGAGATTTTTTGACCTTCAAGCGCCGGCGATTAGTTTGCATTTTAATGCTTAATTATTGTGTTTAATTTGAAAATCTGGTGTCACTTCTACTTGACATATTCTTGGTACAAGGCGTTGTTGGAACTGAAAATTACATCTCAAAATTTTCACATGCTGTTCGTTTATTTTACGGCACAATATACACACAAGTCAATGAATAATTTTTTACAGTTGATACTTCGTTAATTTGATCAGTTCTTGACTAAAGTCGGGAAAGATTTCATGATACCAGACCTGAGTCGCCATGATATCAGACTCGAGTCGACATGATATCAGACTCGAGTCGCCGCTCGCCTCTTTCATTTGGCGACTACTTATTTAACGTACATATGACACAATAGTTTGAAATAATTGCTTAATAAATTGATTATACATGATAACATCAAGAGAAACCATGTCGAATACGTCGGAGAAAAAATTTTTTTCGTAAGCGTGCAATACTTTTGCACAGGAGTGTTATTAGGAGAGTAAGCAACCTTGCTTATGACATGTTCAATGGATTCAATGACCTCTGGCGACAAAACTTCGTTGATGGTTCTGGAAATGAACACAATTTATAAGTAACAACATCAGAAACACCATTATCTAGCCTTCATCTTTCATATAAAAACATTAACGAACAAAATTTTAGTTGCTTTCACTCATCATCATCGTCGTCGTCATCATCGCTTATCAAAAACATCGCAATGGTAGTACCTGTTTAAGGTGTTTGTAGCATAAATAGAGATTGAGTGGATGATGTGAGCAGAGGAGAGGACAGCTCCGTGTCTGCTGTTCGGCAGATCTGCAGGCGTGCAACACTCCAACAGGATGCCACTCAGGCCGCCTGTGTTTGTTTGTCGTGATGGTGAAGATGACGACGATGATGTAGACAATGGCGATGATAATGTTGACGATGACGACAATGATAACGATGACGCTGATGATGACGGAAACGAAGGTGATAATAATGGTTTCATAACATAAAAACTTTTGCATGCTTCAGGTTTGCATAAATGTATAATAACAAAAACATCAAAATGAAATGAAGAATAACAAATAACCCAATAAATAAATTTAAGCATAGAAATGAAAAAATACCAGAATCTACAAAGTAATTGAATGACATTTCAGTGAGCTGACCGAGCGCCTCCGCTGCAAGTTCACGAACGTTTCTAAAGTAAATGATGGTGGTGATGACGACAGTGATGCTGAAGATGATAAAATTGACGATGAAGATGACAAAAATGAAGCTGATGGCGAGATTACGGTGATCAAAATAAGATTATAACTTTTAATAACGTTAGCCAAAACTCGGATGCTGCATAAAAAGAGTGTTAAAAACTACGGCCTTCAAAAGATTATTTATGGATCTCGATAAATCTACCTGAGCCCCATTCCATGCTTGGTGTTTTTATATTCTTAAAAATTATTTCCGTGTATGTTTCACAATGTCTTTTTATTTAAATTACTGACAACACGCATGAATGACTAAATGTAACGTTGTAGCAAATTTAATTTCAGTCCAAGTTAAGGATGATATGACTTATCGAAAACTACGCGAACGAAGATAAACAGCTGACTCAACGGCGATTTTAAATTTTTAAGCTTTCATTGCAACAGGAGAACCTCTGATACTGACTTTTGAAAATTAGTAGCAGAATCAAAACACCTAGAACGAAAAAGGCTGCTTGTCTAATTATTTCAATAATCTTAACAAAGTTCTTATATAAAACATTTTATTCCATTTTAAAATTCGTGAAATCTGAACACCAAGCAGCATTAACTAATGAGCGTGCGAAAGAATTGTTAAGTGCTGTCACCAACTATTTGACAAATTTTCAAAAGTAAAATAAATCAATACACATATTTTCTACTTTTATTTATGCTTTCAATAAATACAATTTCTGTATAATTGTTTAATTCATATTTAATTGCGGCTAGCGAAACATTTCAAACTTAGAAAAATGGATTGGACCTGCCCCTCATCTATATGATGAAATACATTTAAAAAAAAAGAAACACTGACAAGAATCAACGATTGAATGAAAGAACGGATAGATGAGCATATCAAAACAAACGAATTACATAAACAATAATTGAAAAAAGAAAAACCGACTGGAAGAAAGAGTGAATGAATAAATGAAAGAATGAATGAATGAATGAAGCATACATATCCCAATGGGAGAGCTTGTTTTTAATGAGGTGGTCAACGATTGGCTGCCTGTACTCTTCATAACTGCTAATCAGCTTGCTGGGTTTAATAAAAGAAACAACGATGACAACATTTTAATTATCGACGTGCTCATAATTTCAAAAGTGTGTATCATACAGAACCTCAAATGTAGGTAGCAATTAGAACGGCTGCCCACGGCAAAGTAATCACAGCTTGTGACCAGTTCAATCCCATTCACCACACTGCCCTATCAATAATAACATCACATCAACTAAACTAAGCTCGTAATTATTTAAAACCACCCACATTAAAACAATTAAAGACATAACTATTATCATATTTTGAGGCAATAATAAGCAATAGAAATAGCGACAGCACAAAGTACAACCTGCCTGCCAATGAGTTCTTGCATTGCAGCCGATGCAGCCCTTCTCACTTTGACTTCCCTATCGAAGAGGCAGGTGATTAAAAGTGAGGTGATCACTTTCTTCATGTACGGAGACAAGATTGCGGGTTCAAATGCACGCGCAAACGACCAGCAGATGAATGAAGCGGCATCTCGAACGTTGCAACCAACTGAACACAACCCATGTCTCTCATCGTAATTCAGTGATCGCACAACTACATCAACCACTAATATTTTTGATAATTTTATCATCAGTAAAACTACATAACGCTTACAGATCCTCATCATTAAATTTATTACCTAGTACTATTATTTATAAAAGACATCGTCAGTTATCGACATCATCAAACCTCTCACCATCATCAAGTTTCTGCGGCAACAGCGCTCCTCTGTGTCCAAGTTCACCCAGACACAAACAACCTTGTCAGTAATTTTTTAATTATTGCAATATTCGAGGACCATCAGCAGTTTACTTTCATCACCAATTTCTCTATCATACTATCACCACCATCATCATCATCATTAACAACCATCATCATCATTAACAACCATCATCAGCATCAACAACAACAGCATCATCATCATCATCATCATCATCATCATCATCATGACCTCCATGCCAGGCATCTTCATTAGAAGTAGAAGTAAAAAGTTCCATTACAGAGGAAAGAACTTCATCAGCCAATGAGAGAGGAAGGCGAGATGTTATCCGACCAATCCTAATGCAGATTTTTTAAAATTCAAATGACCAACTAATCAAAGGGCATCATTTCATTTATAACATTCAATTGAAAGATTCAACCACATCATAAAGATGTAAACAAACAAAATATCATTGAAAGGTCCAATCATTGAACATTATCTCAGTTAGGTAGGTAGTTAGATGAAATGAATACTCACCCCTTGGCAGCAGACCATCTACATGAGGTGTCTTTATCTTTCAATCCCAACAATAATGTTTCTAAATTATTCAACCACCATTATTAGATGGCATCATACTTAAATAGATTGATCGATTGAATAATTGATTGATTGATTTAATGATTGATACGTTCTTTAAATATCATCATCGGCATTCCGCGCGGAAAAATAACTAACACGCCCAGGCATGTCACCACAGTTTCAACTACTCAAGCAGCTTATTCCTAGATATTTCAACTGATTCACCTACGAAATCACTTTTACATATGACTCTATAAAAGGAGCATGTAACAACAATAACAACATTTTAAAAAATAATATTAAAAATTAACTGATAATACCAATGACAGTCTCAACGATATCAGGAACACAGCCAGCATCATCATCCTTATCGTCATTGCAATAAATACTGTTAGTGTGGCTTGATGATAATAGAACTTCATTATCATCGCCAGCAGTAGTAGCAGCAGCAGCAGTAGCAGCAGCGGTAGGCATCATCTTCAAATTATCCACCAGATTTCTACATCCTCTTTTATATCTTAAATATTAATTCGATAAATTGATTATTTATGTAAGTAGTTAGCATCATAATCATCATCATAATCATCAACAATATGATTCAAAAACCTCCAATCAGCTAATCTTGGCTTCAGGTGGACAAGACCAATCCTCTGAACGACTTTCAATGCCAGCTTCCTGACTTTCGTGTTTGCATCGATGTTCACTTTCAACTCCATCATCTCATTCATCAATACCCCACCTGTTCATTTATCATCATCATCATCATCATCGCCATCGTTATGAGTGGGTGATGATAATGATGACATCAAAAAAGATGAAAAATGTGAGGAAGATGATGACGAGAATTGATTGTGATAATGATGATAGTGGTGGTGATGATGAGGCAAGCAGACCATAAAGAATCAGTTGATCTCTTGGTCCAACTTTGAAAAGGGACGCACATGCAATCAGGAGGCCCATCATCTTTTGAACTGTACTAACTCCAGATCTTTCTATTATTATTATTATTCATTCACATTCACTAATGAATAAATGAATGAGTGAATAAAGAATGAATGAACAAACAAAGAAATAAAAGACCCCTGAATTGTTGAATAGCCCAACTGATGAAGAGGGGTAGTTTGTCATGCCTGACATCAGGCCTGGAGAGGAACCTGGCCAAGACGAATGCGCTGGCATCCTGACATCTGTTGTTGCTATCAAGATAGTTCTGTCGTGTTATTAGCATATCAAATCTATCAGATCATTCATGAAGTTACATCACTTTATACATCAACAACATACCATCATATCATATCCACAACTAATCATACCACATTAAATCACAATAAATGCTGTAAAATAAATCAATCAATTTCTATTCTTTGGTTTCAATCAACAAAAAAAGCTGATGAAAAATTAAAAAAAAACTGAGAATTAACCAAGACAAGATCGAATATGACGTTTAGTGTGGTCTTGTTAGCATTGCTGGCATCATCAAATCGAGAAAGATGGAATGGTATAAGGCAGACGATAGAGAGCCACAAGAAGCAGACGTATCTGCATTCAAATCCCTTTGAATCAAATCATATTTAACAGATTATATATTCAGATTTTTAAGTTTTTCAAAATTGTCATTTCCAAATTGACATCATCATCAGGAAGATTAAAATAAATGAATGGGCAAACAAATGACAAACAGTTAAAAAATAGACAGAAGAATGAAAGCTAGATACCTCAAAGTCGAGGAGATCTTCATTATGCAGGATGGTCAATATATGCTGCAAGTCAGTAACCTCATGAGGGAACATACACAATGCAGCTTTGTAACCACGTGTCTGTAATCATCAATTGATTAATGAATTATTATTAATTCAATCAATCAATCTAGTCTTAATATTTTAAACTCGTTAAATTGATGGATGAATGATGCATTAACAGCTTTGATGTAAGTATAGGCAAGCAATTATTAGAAAACAACAATTGCATTTCATATAAAAATTGTGAATTAAAATTTAACAAATAAAATTTTGAAATAATAACAATATTTTAATATTTTAGTGTAATAATAAAGCATGTACTAGTGAAACCCTACCAACCTTTATTAATATGTAAAGAAACTTGCAAGCAAAATGAACAAGTGTTTTATCAGCTGTGTTTTCCTTGATGGCAACCAGCAATTTATCAAAAAGTTGCTCTGTAGTTAATTGATACTTTGAATAAAACAAATAAAACTAGATGCACATTCATTTTTATTCTTAAGTTAGTTTAATACTTATTTATATTTCTAATAAAATAAAGAGACCACCAACCAAAATGGTGTCACTAACTTAAATGTCTGTCAAGCAAATGCGGCTGCTCCTGGTATTGACTTATGACAACTACAAAGTGTGACATGGCAATAATTGTGATATAAATAAGATAAGACAACATGACATATAGATAATAACTGAATATTTTATTTTCTCATTTTTTGTTTATATTTATTAATAAACAAAAAATAAAAATTAATTGACTACAGGTTAATTAATCAATAATCAATATTGATAATTAAATTAAAAAGAAAAAGCTATAATAATTATAATAAATTACTTAATAGAAAATTTTCATTTTACTTTTTAATTTTTAAACCTCGATGCTATAAATTTTAAACTATTACTTGACTAACTTTTATGATATGTTAATAAGTTTTAATTTAAACAAAAGGTTAAATTTGGTGACTAAATAAAAAATTTTAAAAGTTTACTTTTAAGTTTTAAATTACTACATGTTACCAGTTACACTAACAATTGAACCGCTGAAGTACAAGTTCTGACTTTATTGGCTTCTTGGCAGTAGTACGGATGCCATCTACAATCAAATTTATTTCTCTCGCTTCTTTAAATTCTTCCAAAAAACATTCTTTTTTCATGTCTTCGTCCATTTTCTCTCCAATAACTAATTTAAAATATTCAATATCTCGGCAGATATTTAGAAAAATCAGCGATGTGCAAATCTTTTACTGATTTACATACATACATAATACATTCATACATATTTTCCTCCTGTGCTTGTTCATATTGTTTGGTGACTTTGCAGGAAAATTGTTAATAATAATTATTAAATATATACATACATACATACATACATACATGCATACATACATACATACATACATACATACATACATACATACATACATACATACATACATACATACATACATACACACACACACACACACACACACACACACACATACATACATACATACATACATACATACATACATACATACATACATACATGTTAATCCATTTGTTACTTGATGTTTGACGGTTCAGTGTCACTCATCATGTTTTGGTTTTAACATACATACATACATACATACATACATACATACATACATACATACATACATACATACATACGTACGTACGTACGTACGTACGTACGTACATACATACATACATACATACATACATACATACGTACATACATACATACAGACTAATCAAGCCAATTACGTTATTAAACGGTTGGCCGAATTCAGTTCGGCCAACTCATCTATTTTCGCAGAATTAACAATGTCTTTGTCTTCGTTTGATTAATGTTTTGTTTGTTCATTAATTTTAGGGAGCGCTTTTGAGATCTTTTTTTGTAATTAGCGCTGTACAAATTGACTAGTAATAATAATAATAATAATCAATAACTCAACTATATATAAATCTATTTAACCGTATATACCATATAGTTATATAGAGTTGTATAGGTTTATATATTATTATATAGTGTTATATATGGTTAAATAGATTTTTATACAGTTATCCTAACCCTAACTATATATAATCAATAACTCTACATAACTCATATAAATCTATATAACCGTATATAACACAATATAAAACTATATAATCCGATACAACTCTATATAACTATCAATCAATCATCGTTTAGCGTCCAGAGACCCAGTTCTCCCTAGTTTTCCTTCATGAAATGCTAAATTTTGAAGCCTATCTTCAGCCATTCTACTGTTTCAGTTGTTATCATGTTCATTATCTTCAATCAATCAATCAATCAATCAATCAATCAATTAGCTTATAAAGCGCTATTTCCGCGATGTTCAACAGCGCTCCTCAATGAATTTTGAAAGCAGATGGGTCTTATCATGTTCATTATCTTCATTCTTCATTAGTAAACTTGTTATTGCTTTGCGAAAATTCTGACGATGATGACGGTGACATGGTGCTCTCTTTAAAATCAGTACTTGGGCCGATGTTGTTGTTGTAAGCATCAAACTTTTTGATATTTTCATCGTTGGTCATGTTGCTGTATACGTTGCTGACACTAGCATTAGTGTTATCAACAATGATATTGTAATTGATATCATTGTTTGCATTGTCAACATTAATGACGCTATTGATGTCATTATTGCCAGTGACATCAGCATTGTTGTCAGTCTTGTTGATGTCGGTGTTATCAATGTCATTAACATGTTTGTCAGCGTTGTTGATGACGTTAGTGTTGTTGTTGTCATCAGCTAACTCTTCCATCTCATCAACATTTGATATGCTCACATAACTCTTACTACTGCAAACAATTTTAAGGATTACAATTAAAAAATATTCGAGGTTCACTCAATGAAGGCAGAGCAAACATTCTGATTGTCCAGGCAAGCAAAATTTAAATTCAAATTTAAAAAAATTCAACTGTTCATTCATCTCTTAGATAGTTGAATAACTGATAGAATGTTATGATCGTATAGAAAAAATTGATTAACATGAAAAAATTAATGAAAAAATTAAAAAAAAAATTGGATGAATAAATAAAAATATTTTGAATGAAGAATTAAATAAATTTTGAATAAAGGAATGGAAAAATATTTAATGAAGGAATAAATCAGTTCTGAATAAACCTTGAATCACTGTTGGATCCAATACATTTTGAAGAGTTTATCAACTTTTTTCTAACTTGTGGCATCATTTGCGACGTTTCCATGCTATCTTCTGATGGCTTTGGAATCTATGAAACAAATATTTAACGTTATAAACTAGTTAATAAATTTGAAAGGCCTCTTTCAAATGTGTGCAGATGCAAAATATTTATCAGAACATAGAAGAATAAGGCACCAATTTTGTTAAACTATCAAAAAGAGTTGCATAACTTCAACTACACCCACCACTAGCACAACAAGAATCAATAACAACAACAACAACAATAATAATAACAATAAAAATAAAGCAACAACAACAACCACAATTGAAAAGTAAACATTAGTTTAACAAAATCATGGGACCTGATGGTAAATGTTAGTATTCTCTAAATTATTGGTTGAGATTTTTATAATATATATTTCTATATCTAAAGCAGCATGATAAATGTTAGTATTTTCTAGATTATTGGTTGAGATTTTTATAATATATTTTTCTATATCTAAAACAGTAGTAGAAAGAGTTAACACTTTGTCCTCATCTATAACAGTAAGAATGAGCAGAGGTGATGATTGCAACCTTCTTCTTAGCGAGATCAT